GCTGAGGGGTTGGAACTGTGAGAGTTTCACTTATTATTTTCAGCTGACAGTGAACCTCCGCTTCAGCTACCAAAGAGCTAGATCTCTTTCAAGGAAGTGTTTAGTGCAGCTTATAATTATTGAGCACTGAGGGATGCAGCAGTCCTAAAAAGGGCTTGTTAAACAAGCTTATTAATTGACATGGGGCCACAGATAATTAAGCTCATAGGAAAGCAGCACTTACATGTGTCTGATTTCTCTGCGCTTTCCAACTTTCCGTCAGCTCGGAATATACAGGATGTTGACAGTCATTGCCCCAAAACAATTTTTCGTAATTTTAGAAGGTTATCCTTACTGCCTATCCCTGTTTCTAAGGAGTCTACTCTCAGAACTCCATAAATAAAACCTGTTGTATTATTTCTCAGCCTTTTCCCCAACCCAACCACATATAGTTTTAAAAAAAGCATGCATGAATATGACTATGTGTACCTAGTTTTAAAAAATGCTATCTTATTCTCAGATAAAAGGCTACAGTGTAGAGCAACAGAGAAGCAGACAAAAGGAAAGTAAGAGGACCTGAAAAAAATACTTCATACTCTGCTAAAGGATTTGAATTCTACAGCTCATTTCCAGCTGATTGTTGCACTATAAATAAAGATTCAAGGTGCTGTCAGCTTACACATTTGCATGTACGTCTATGTGCACACACAACTTTATAGAATGATACAGGCTTTCCAATCAAGTCAAATGAAGTAACAATATACAGGAAAAAAATGGGTATCTCCTACTGTAAGAAATTGGAACTGATGACTGAAAAAGCCCAGGCTTATAAAGAGAAAAGTGGTTTTGTTAGACTAATGCCTGAGGTTTAATTTTTAAGTAGCACAAATGGTTCCCCAGAGCTGTGGAACAGGCTAGGCTTATCCTTGCCTTGGCTACATTATTGAACATGTTCTGTGAGATACCTCGTACTTGGATCTCTTTATTGACCTTAGTTTTGATTTTTCTTTTTGCTTTTTTCATCTCTGTGCCTGCGAATAATTGCAGAAGGTCCTTCTGCAATAGGTGTGGGACCATTGCCGGGACCATTTTATTATGCTGTTTAATAGGATGTACGTCATAACAGAAAGATGAGTTAGAAGGATGCTCCTAACCAACTCTCTATTAGTTTCTATTCCTAATCTGACTGTAGAGATATTTAAGAGGGTTTTCTCTCAGCTGATATTGAAGTCTGTCTCCCAGAAAGGTGGGGAAAAGAGAACACCACAGACAGGATTCAGTTTCAGGTGGCTGGCTGAAGCTCAGGTCTTCCTCTGCTTGGATATGTAAGCAATGGGTCAGTAAATTCATCAGGGCTCAAGCATGGGCTTAAAGCAGAAAGCATGGGTATTTTCATGTGAGTTGCAGAAACTCTGTACTGAACCTTTGGTCCTAAGCCTGCAATACTTTATACCTTGTAGAACCAGGCATCATTAGATTTTCTGTCTTATAAGCCAAATCTCAGGAACTGTTATATCCTGTAAAGCATGCAACTTCCTTCTGGGACTTAATTAATAAAAGTAATCTGTACTCAGATGGTTTTCTCACTGCTTCACTCAGTGTATTCATTGTTACTGCTCTATACTATAGCAATTACTTTTATCCATACAGCAATTCATATGTAAGAAACTTACTGAACTAATTTGAACTTTGTGATGTATAAAAGTGCTTTTTGGGCCATTCTGCTTATGATCTAAAATATTATTTCTAATCTACTAATGAGTTCAGGTAACTCAGTTCCAGACTCCCGACAGCGGTAGCTCTGTGAAGGACAAAGAACCTGTATTCTTTGGTGGGAACAAGGACAAATGTAACCACATAAGCTAATTCCAGCCCCCATTACTATTTGACTCAATGATACACTGCTTCTGTTCCTTAAGAATTAGCTTCCCAGAAGCTGGAGAGACCTTCTTTGTGTGTTAAATGTTTTAGTGCAGATTTAGACTACAGAATGCTGGTCATGCTATTTAAAACGCGATTATCTTTGCAGTTTGCCATGCAAAAGAGTTTACTATGAAAGTACCAGTGGAGACTACAGTTTCTCTCTGCCACACAATATATATCTTAATTTACAAATTATTTTTAATGGGGAAGTGTCAAAATTTAAACCAGCACTATACATAATATTTTCTGACTAAGAAGCAGAGGTTCAGCCTATATCAGCATAAATTTAACACAAAGACCACCAGCTGCAAAAAATGCATCACTCTTGAGTCTGAATTTCATGGAGACTGCATTAGTCAAAGGAAGAGAAATTAAAAACAAAATCAAACACTATAAACCAAAATGAAGAATATGGGGTATAAAATGCAAAACATTAAAAATAAGAGAATAAAAGCTGAAAAGTAGGTTTCATTAAAGTAATTTCATTTTTAACTATTATTTATAGTATAAGTAACATGGGCAAGAAAATTTGTTTGTATGTCTGCAAACATATACTTCAGGAATATAGCTATAGGTATGGAAAGATATACATAAACCATATGCTTAATGCATGTGTATATAAGGTATGCTACCAAAATTTGATAGGTTTACAAACTCACTTTGAGGTTGCATTGCAGAATAGAAGTATTCAATAAATTAGAACAAAGCAAGATACCTGTCTCAGGTTTGTTTGATTTCCTTTCTGACTTAGCACAGTGAAAAATCAGATTGTTCTGCAAAATGTTGGATGCAATAAATTAATAAGATTAAACATTGTTGTACATCAAGCTAGGGAAGAGGAAAAGCTTTATCCATATACTGAAGTAGAATTCTTGAAAATAAATAGTCACCATTATGAGGTCATAATGCCCCTGGGATTAAGAAAATAGCCCGAGGACTATGAAAAACTTCCAAACCCCCATAAAATTATGTATGTTTATTTTCATTTAGGCAGTTTAATAATCCTGCTATTAAGTTCCATGAGGGCAATTAGCTTATTTAAATATTTGCTTAGAGTAAAAATAATGCACCTGTTGCTGCGAAAACCTATGTATTTTCAGGTGTACCAGTTTTCTCTGTGTATGAAATGTCTGTTACTTGTCTCGATGCTCCCACACAGAGCCAGAAAGACTGGATTCCTCATTGTAACAATACTATTCATTTCCACTGAGGCCTCAGTTTAGAAACTAAGTAAATCTCACGTTATTTTCATAGTCCCAGTGCTACTACTGAGAAAGAGCTATGAATACTATACCCATTTAACCACAATGTTTGGGAGATGTATGGAAGGAATAATCAGTGGTTTATGTCCTTGTTCCCTGTGCAGCTTTGACACAGCTCCCATGGTTATTAATACAAAATACATGCTTAAGCTCTGACCACTGGTGGCAATACAATATCTCGTAACACAGAGGGGAGAGGACTGCGATCTTCCAAAGCTTCCTGAGCACGTGAGATGTGCCAACAAGATTTACATTCAGAACAATTGCTGAAAAAGGAAATGTTATGCCTCTATTGTGATAATATGAGCCCAAAGAGAAGTTTGTTGATCATTTCTTTTACCTGTCTCCCTAAGGACCTGTATCAATTTAACTACAAATATGACTATAAACTAATGTAAATCCACAAATCAACCCTTGATTCAATGTAAAAGAAACTTGATTAACTTCAGTCAGTCAGCAAAACTGATATAAGCACAGTGCTATATTAACTACTATATTTTAAAATATTTCATTTAAATTAATTCAGTTTTCTCACAAAGCCCAGGTCCCTTGGAAGTCACACAAGATGGTTTGCCCAAGTTTGCTCAGTTAAGCTTAAATTAACTGAATCTGTCAACATCTTCATGACACGTGAGCACTTTTGAAGTCACTGAGATCCCTAATGCTTTTCAAGTTGTGTATTTAACTTGGGATCATTAGCAACACTTCTGAAAGTGTCCCTAAGAACTGTATTGTGGCTGAGAGGCTGCTCAGGTCATCTTTTTACAGAATTGGACATGCATGCACGCTAAGTGCAGGACACCAGTATAAGTGATCCTGCCAACCTAGTCTGTAATATAATCTCTGAAAAATGGATCATTGGTACCAGCTTTATTTGTTATTGTTTTCATTCTTTTGTTTTCAAATGGGTAGGCTTTCTATTGCCCAATAGTAGATGCTCCAAATTCCTGACTGGCAAGGTTTGGTGTGTGAATCACATACATCAAAGGAAAAGAAACAGGAAAAAGTTAGAGCAGTACTTTAAGCACCGTATCACATATGCAGATTTGCAAGGGGCGTGGGAGGGAGACAAAGAGAGAGAGAGTTAGGTCCATGAAATAATCAGTATGATGGCAGACTTCTTAAATGTAGTATGGAACCCAGACATACACTGCATGCTCCAGCAGTATTGAAGAAGTTTTGGTAGACATCTTTACAAGACTTAGAAACAAACTTAAAGAGACCAACACACTGAAATAAAAACTGTAAGTTAGCTATTTAACTTCAGTATAGTACATATCTTGAAATTCTTTCAAGAAGCCAAATACTCAGAACTTCTAATTTAATTGGAGTCAACCCACATTAAAGATGATTGCCAGTAATACTGCCAGTAACAATAATCATAAACAAAGCATAAAACATTATAAAATAAATCACAGCTTTTCATGAATTTATGTATTTACAGGCCAGATTATAATATTCTGACTCATCTCCATGAGCATTTCATTCCAACACAGCTCATTTTTTTCAGTGATACAGTCCTCAGCGTGATTATCAGTATGTAGCCTGTGGGGGAAAGAAAATCTATCCTTCAGAAAATTCTTATGACTTTATACTGTGGACATTTGACAAGTGAGGGAGACGAGAACTAGGCAAACTCTCCGGACAATCGTTACATCTGACCTTTGGAATCTTACTTGCTTTAACCTTGTCATTAAAAGACCTAAGAGCCACATACAATTCTTCTGATGTGCAGAGACCTCCAGCTCACGTCAGTTACAATTGCATGCAAAGATCGAATTTTTAAAATGTGATTTCCAACATCCTTTCCTTTTTTTTTTCCTCTCTCAGACTTACCTGGTTTCATCAATATAAACTGCCTCCAGCACAGACGCTGCATATTCAATATTCTTTTTTAAATCCACCACATTAATGTCACCCTTCTCCAGCTGCTTTACCAAGCATCTTAATCTGTGAAAAAGAAAATAAAAATATCAGTGCATTGCTTATACAAAATTTTAGTGACTGCATTTTCTATTTGAAATATTGGAACCAACACAATAGCCAATGTAGAGGCAAGAGACCATCACTGCATCTCTTGTCTTTTTTAAAAAAAATCTGTTTTTAGAATGCACATAACAATGACCAGTTATATGTTTTTACAGCATGCTAAATTTGTAAGATCTATTAAGAAAAGGCATAAACATTCCAGTAAGTCAGAGAGGACTCAGTAACTACCATCAGAGCGATTTTATATTAACTTGTGACATTACTATTACACCCGAGTCTCTAATTTTGTTTAAATAATAAATAAAACTTTGCAAGTTGTCTTACTATAATTCTTCTGTGCTTAGAAGGTTGATTATAATTTTTTAATATCCACTATATACTGATTTTGCTTCATTTAAATGTCTTTAATTTTTATTTAGGCCTCCAGTATGTTTTTGCGGCAGAATTTGTATTTCTTATTAGCATGAGCTAATGTGGAGCTCCATTGTTTCAGAGCTTACAGAAAATTCATCATTATATCAGAAGAAAGGTGGTGCATATGGCATTAGAAAAATCCAAATATTTTCCCAAGTGTGCTTTTACTATTAGTTTTGAGAACATTCTTTTACAGTACAAACACGGATACGCCCAAAGGGGATTTTGCAATGCGTCAACTCATGCCTCTGTAGCAACACACTTATACAGATAAACTACTTGAATACCAGAGTTTTCCTAAACTCTCTGAAGAGAAGAACACTTCTGACACTGCTCAACTTAACCATACAGAGTAGTCACAACACTGGAGTGAAATGAAAACCTTATCAATAACTGTGTAGAGCTGTGACTAAATGGATACTTAAAGAATTATGGGCATTTTCCTTCTTTCTGTGCTATAGCTCTGAGTTGAAATAATCTACAGTTTTGTATCATGTAAGATAAACATTTCTGTAATTAAAGATACACCATTATTTTAACATAACTTTCATGAAATAATCTTTTTTTGTGTATGAAATGTGAAAAAATTGTGTGAAACAAGCATTTAGTTAAAAAGTAGACTGAAATTGAGTCAGCACTAACCTGACTTTACTTTCAGAAAAAATCGTATTTATGATGTGAAAGAGCATATATAAAAATGTACGATATGTTATATAATAATTTGTTATATATACCACGTATTATTTTTATTGGGCATATACAATATTTGATTGGACCTAATTAAAAGGTATGAATTAAAAAAAAAAATGCAGTGATATTCAAAACAAATCTCTCATAAACTTGGAAAGTACTGTTCCGTCATAAAACCCCTTTCATGTTTTTTCTTTGTATCTATTTGGCCTAAGCATAATTATGTCCAAGCCTACAAGAATAATTTTAGCAAATGGAGTTTTAAGACCAGCCTCCTCAGTTCTCCAAAGTCTTAATTCAATTCAAATTAGCATAGAACATAATACAAACAAGGCTCTCAGCAACCATATTTACTTGGTATTTTACACAGTGCATTGCATATCAATGGAATGGAAAATTCAGTGTTAAAAAATTTTCTCAGAGAAGTGAAGTGGGCGGATGAAATACTATGGGAGCGCATCTCCTACACAGAAATAACCTTATGCATGGGGAGGCAGTTCCAGTACGTAACTCCTTCCACTTCAGAGGTACCCATAGACTGAAGAAGCTAATTCATAGACACTCACCTTGCAGTACCCAACGCACGCGCTATAACTCTCCCGGGATGTCTGCTCCTCAGTAATGCATACAAACACACATACAACCCCTCCTGAGCACCAACGCCAAAATGGCCAGGTGAGTCTGGCAGCATCATTGCCACTACTTGCAAATAGCCGTAGGGCGGTTCTACCACCTGCACTGTTCCCTCCGAGTTTGACTGAGCATGTCTCCAAATCACACTTTCCAAAGTGGAAGCATAAATGAATTTACAAATGCAACATTTCACAGCAGGGGGCCAGGTTATGGTAGAACAATATTAGTTCAAAATGGCTTCAAATCCTATGATTTCCTGTGGTTCTATGTTTTCTCAGGGCATAGACCAGATGAAAGATATGTGGAATCATTTTTACGCTTGCAGGAGGAAAGGAGTCCCTGGGGGAGCCTTTAAGCCACAATGACCTTGCAATGACGCTGCATAGGTGGCAGTCAACCGATGTACCTCTCCCTGTAGTTATAGTTCATATTCTAGGAGGAATGCAGAACACAGTAACAGACCAGGCAATTTGGAAAAGCTGCTCAGGCAAAGTTAAAGTGATTCTGAAGAGGTTACAGAATCATAAAAGCACAAACTCCATAATATTTAATGATGACCAGTGACCTTGTCATCTCATGCATCCATGCTTTGTGGAGATGTCCTCAACAGTGTCTGTAGCTGACTCAGTGCAGATCTATCATAGAATCACAGGATAATTTTGATTGGAAAGGACCTCCACCTGATCCAAGATCTTGCTCAAAGCAGGGCCAACCTCAAAGTTAGATATAACTTCAAAGTTAGATCAAATTTCTCAGGGGCATTTCCACTCAAGTTTTGAATGCATGGAGATTTCACAAACTCTCTGGGCAATCAGTTTCAATGTTTAACCAGCCTCACGGTGGATTATTTTCCCCAGTATCTAATTGGAACGTCCTTTGTGGCAACTTGTGCCCAGTGGCCCCCAACCTCTGCTGTGCACTTCAAAGAAAAATCTGGCTCTGTCTACCGTACAATTTCCCACCAGGAAGCTGGACATAGCAATAAAATCCCTCCATAGTGTTGCTGATCAGACACTTGTCAGGTGATAATCATGAGGTCCACCCTAAAAGTTAGAAAAATGGACTTCCATTGCAGCAAAATTAAGTAGGTTATAACAGCAGATGAATGTATACACTCAACATATTATGCATTAAAGAGAAATAGCCACAGGGTTTAAGAGCTGACATTTCAGTAATGAAACTAACATTTTAGTAAAGAATAAATATGTCAATTTGTAAGACAAACCAACAAGTGTTAAAATACTCATAGCCCAGCATTCCACAAGACAAAGAAATTTGTAAAAAGGACAAAGAAAAGGAAAAGTAATAAAAAAGCATTATTACTCCAGCTGTATTGGGCAGGATTTTTATTTATTTGTTTGTTTTCTTTTAATGAAGTGTGATAAATTGAAAACAAACATGAGAAAAACCATTAGAAAACCTGAAATGCTACTTAAAATTGGAGCTAGTTGTATTACCCTGCCTGTGAACTGTGCTACTAAGAAATAGTAGACAGAAACAAGAAAAAAACGGAGGGGCTATTTTGTGAAGTAGAAAAATGGACTGTTTGAACTGTTCTAAGGTGCAAAGAAAACTGTATACAGAGTTAATATGAGACAACACGATAGAAAGAGATTTATAGAGAAAAAGAAACAGATTATTTCTCTCAGGACAACTGAAAACCGCATTTTAAAACTATAAGCCCCGGTTTGTAAGAGAAAAAGAGACATCTGCAGTTAATAAAGGGAGTGGGTGGAGAACCATCTTCCGTCATATTGGGTAAACACCATGAACAGCGCTGTGGTATTAAACGCTTTCACGGACAATCCAAATGCACTCTGCTCCTACCTATTTTAACAGTGCCGTCTGTGAGGTTACCAGGACCAGTGTTTCCCTCACCTCCCCGTGCAGCTGATACCTATGACCAACTGTGGGCAACAAGCTTTGAGGCCCACCCAGCAACACAGGCAAACCAGGAGAAAACGAGGATTTTACTAGCAGGCAAAGCAGTATGTTCTTGATTAACAATATCAAAATCACAACTCAATTGTTCCCTCCTTCCTCATTAAAATTCTCTACTTACCCCATATTTGAATTAAAGCTTTGATAAATCTACGGTAACTTTCAGGGGTTGTACCAAATTAACGGAGTATAGATTTTAGGTTATTTGAGAAGCCTTCCTATGACAGTTTCAGTTAACTACAGGGAAAAAAAGGAAGATACGGAATCAGTGATTAAAAAAGACTTTTTGCAATATCATCATGAGGAAATGTTTTCTTCTATGGAATCAAGCGAAGTTCAACATGAGAAATATGTTTGGAAATACTGAATAATTGTCCTAAACACAGATTAAAAAGATAACAAAGAAAGGTGCCAGGGGTGGGATTATTTAAGAAGGGAGATTGTAAGGTTTGACTCAGAGGCAGATGAGTTGGACAATTTCAATTTCAGATTTTAAAGACTGCCTCTTCCTTTTCCAAGGGAAAATTACCAGTGATCACCGAGAATAAATGAGAGTTAAAGATTCAGCTTAACAGTCTTCAAGAACAAGAAGAGGAAAATTCAGCCTGATGTTAACTTCTGAACCTGAGAAAAAGACCCTGTGTCTGCTTTCCCAAAGACTGCCTTTATCTGCCATCTGATCGAGCCCCACCATCGAGCACTGGAAAGAAACAGCTTTCTAACTTGCACATCTGGACTTCACTTAAAACTGTTTTGGAAACTTTGTACAAAAAATGCTGGCTTTTGCCACAGATCCTATTAAAGGGGAAGTGAAATGGACTGTAAAAAGTAAGCTGTAATCTAACCCTGCTTCCTATTCTGTTTTGAAATTAATGGAAGTCACTGTTGAAGGATGGGCAGTGAACACATGGATAATTCTTTGAAAATAATAAACACATGCTAATGCTAATTACAGAGAAATAGTTATTCATATTAATATTCAATAATCACAATGCCAGTTTAAAAATTATCTGTGTTGGTTAAGTCAACTCCAATTACAAGTTGTAAATCATTATGTTCCCATGAACTAATTGAGAAAAGCCTAGCTCTGTGCCAAATGTATTAATTCCTTGAAAAGATTATGAGCAAATACTGACGTGTTAAAAAGTTTAAGGACAGAACAAATTATTATTGTCTGTAAACAATTGTTTCATGTTTTGTTTTGACTATTTAATATTGAATTGTAATTAAGTGGATAATTGTAATCTTTATTATACAAGTGATTTGACCCTCTAAATGAACATCACAAACTAAAAATGGGCTGATACATAATGTGAAATTAAAAGTAAGGAGGAGGAGAGTAACCATATTCTGACAATATGGTTAGTCACAGTTTAAGCACCACTAGTTTTTAAAAAGTTTGGGGAAGTGGGAAATTTTCTTCTAAAACTATTTAGAATTAAAACTAGAAACCATTTTTGCTACCTGTAGTGATTCTTGTAATAGTCAGTTGAATAATTTTCACAACCTGTAGAAAGCATTGCTCACCCAGTAGTTCCTCAGCTTTCAAAAGCAGAAGTTACATCCTCACTCAAACATTAACACTCTGAAAAAGGGCCAATATCCAAATAATTAACAATAAGAAGTTCAGCTCATCTATTTAAAACAGTCCAATCCCAGAATCCAAGTTGGTTTATGTACCTACACATTTGAGATTCAGGAAAATATTTGAACTAGGAGAAATCCAATTTGGGAATAGCAAAACTTCACCTTGGAAAAGTCACAACAAAAAAAAAAATCACTATTTCACTTGAATTCTAAAATTCCCTACATAAATTGCCCAAATTCCAATTATTTTTTATGTGAATTGGTATCATTTGAATTTTACACTTTTCTATTAAGAACATGCATGTATAAAATAAATCTTTATCTAAATACATCAGTTCCCCCAACAAATACTTTAAAATAATGTAGATCAGAAATAAAAACCAAATTGTAATAATAACAATCAACCATGCACAAAGTCCATGATCTCACTTTTTCAAGTAAAAAATTATAATATACGGATGACTAGAAATCTTTTATTATGACAAAGGATATAATTCCTTTTTCGTGTTTTCTGCAAGATGGAAGATAAATACTGACTATGAAAAAGGAAAATCCCAGATACAGTTGCAATATTTGTAATATATGGCTATAAAAGACTAGACGTAATCATATAAATGGATGAGAAATACTGGAGAAATATCTAGAATATGGAAATAACGATTCAGGAGTGATCCCTTTGGGTAGGCACTCCTGTTCCCTTGCTCCTACCTGCAGTTACAAAGCGGCCAACTAACATGGCTTCAAAATGGCTAACTTTTACTTCAAGTTTTTTTACATTATGTTAGGGAAAAATATGCCAACATTTTGACAGTCAAGGCAAGACCAGTATGTCAATGGAGAGCAAGGATTAGAACCAATCTCTTGACTCAGACCTTAATGTGCGTTTCACTTGCCTGACATCATAAAAAATGCAGTTTTAAATGCAGTTACCTAATATTTCTTCTAATTAGAGGTACTCCCTCTCAATAAATTCTGATACTGAGAAATGCAAGAAAGATATATCACATTTTCAGTGCTGCAAATGTGTTTTATGAAATTACTTCTCAGTCACCGCTGTGTCTGAGCATATGCACAGGAAGCCTTGTGGTTGCTAAGGGTTTCACGAATCACATTCATTTCATGATTATTTTAAGCACTGTGAGTGGTACACACTGATCTGTAACTATGATTCAGTCATTAGAAAATAAATATTGAATATGCTGGTAATTCAGCCAACATTTTGATATACCAAAACTTCAATCCCATATTGAAGAATTAAAATAGTTCTGCAGCTATATAACACACACTGAAATTTACACTTTCTTAATGATAAAACTCTGCATTTTCAAGGTGATAGAATTGCCTTGGCTGTTTAGATATTGATCATGTTTATGCAAGATGAAGTGGTTTTCCTTCAGGCATGTATTCTCTATTAGGCTTCAATTCATTTCACCTTACTCATCCTATATATTTTCATATTATTTAGCACTCTAATACTGTATAAATATTACTCTTTGGATCTCATTTACTAACAGGTTCAAGTGTGTTTAAAGG